GCGGCTTTTTAACCTGCATAATCGCGAAGTGTGCAGCCTCCGTAATTATTTTCTGTCGAGAGCGGATGATCCATTCTATAGGGACGTTATTTTTTGTGATAAAGGACTTACCCCTCTATCCTTAGCCAACGAGCAATGGCAAGACCCGGCAGTACAGAGCATTTCCGACCGGGAGACCGTATGGAAGGAGAAGGAGCTCCACGGGAGGTTCTACAAGGCTCTACATGAGCCTTTCGTAGATACAGTTGCCTCCCTCCACTGGCTACGTTTTGGTGACCTCTTCGGGGAAACCGAGGGTTTTGTCTGTGCAATACAGGATCAGGTTATTAAGACCAACAACTATCGGAGATACATCCTAAGGGATGGCACCGTCGACATTTGTCGAGCTTGTCGCCATCCTGGTGAATCACTTAGGCATGTCATCTCCGGTTGTTCGGCGCTTTCTAACTCTGAGTACTTGCATAGGCACAACCTAGTAGCCAGGATTCTACACCAGGAGCTCGCTCTGAAATACGGTCTCGTGGATCAGAAACTGCCTTATTATAAGTACATGCCGGAAGCCGTGCTCGAAAATGACCGCGCCAGGCTCTACTGGGACCGGGCCATCATCACAGACAGGACCATTCTTGCGAATAAGCCTGATATTGTGCTGATGGACCGGGCACAGTCAAGGATATTTTTGGTCGACATTACCATTCCGTATGACGAGAACCTCGTGAAAGCCGAAACAGATAAGCGAACAAATTATCTGGACCTGGCTCACGAGGTGACCGACATGTGGGGTGGACTGCCGGCCGAAATTATACCTGTAGTCGTTTCTGCGAACGGGTTAATCCCAGTCAGCCTGTCGGGTCATCTGAGGCGACTGGGACTCCGTGACGGACCGCTCCAAGCTCAAATGCAGAAGGCGGTGCTCCTCGATACCGCCCGCATCGTCCGCCGGTTTCTTTCCCTTTCCCCCTAACCCTCGGCCGTTTGGTCTCCCCTGCCGAGGGCTTCCATCTGGTTGGGTTTTTATTTATTTATGTATTTTTTATGCATTTATTTTATTTTGTTGATATTTATGTATGTTTATCATTTTCATTTACAATTATATATTTATACAGCCCAACCAGATGAGTAAACTATATAGATGCCCCAAATAATAATAATAATCTTTATTTGCAAGAATATGGTTGTACAATGTTGTTTGAGTATAATTCGTTCTACATATTCTACCTTAGTAGTGTGCAAATATTAATGGTCAAGTAACATAAACAATAACACTTATCGAATTTAACAACATATATTAATTTAACAAAATATAAAATTATTTATTAATTTATTATGCCACAGTGTCAGAAAATGCCATCAAATATATAAGTAAGTATTATTATGTCAAGTAAGGTTATTATTATAGGTATAACAATGTGTATAGTTTTGAGTAAAAAGCTGGATGCCCTCATTAAGCGTTTTTAAATTTAAATAGGGATTAAATTGTACACTAAGAATAAATACATGATTGTTTTTCAGTTTGTAAAGGGCGTTGCACAATTCCGAGTATAGAACGTAAGGATTCTTATCATGTGCACCCAGACCTATAATAACAATGTCATCCTTGTTAAGTGTAGATATAATATTATCACAGCTGTTTAAAATTTGTGAACTTGTTGCGTTAGGTTTGACGATCCCCGTGACAGAATAAATATCGTTCCACCTGTTTGTTCTCGACTTAATCATTTCTGGAGCTAGTTTTTTTACTTGTTCATCTCCTAATATAATAATTTTGGATGATTTTGTATTGCTATTAGTAACGCCATCTTTTGCCCGATTTTGACAATTATTGCACACTGAATTCACAGTTTGCTTACTTTGAGCATCTGTGGGTTTTTTTTTATGTCTTGTTTTACAATTTGTAGTCCAGGAGGCCACTGGACTTTTCTACGGGGTGTTGAGGAACAATAAGTTTTCAAAGTTTTATATGATTTGGAAGCAGGAGGTGTTGAGAAATTTAAGATGGGAATATTTTGTGCCATCGGATTAGAGGCTGTTCTATGAAATTTTTTTCTAATTTTGCTGAGTCGTCCGTGTGCAGTAATTACAGAAGGTATGTCATTTTTCGGAAATATAGATGATGTATCCTTTGATGCAACCCTAGTCGGTTTTTTCAAAAAATCTATTTGTAAGTCTTTTTCTTTTATACTTTGCCTTAACTCTGTATTTTCACTATTTAGACTTTCAATCTCTCGATGAGCACTGTTTAACTGTATCTCCGAATCTTCTAATTTATCTTTTAATTCAATAATCATTGACGCATCCAGGGTTGTTTCTAATGGTACGCTTTTGTTAGTAACATTTTCTAAGGTTGAATGAAAAAATGAGTTTTCTGGTGAGATGTTCGTTAAATCGTTGTGTGAATTAGATTTTTTTGATAGTCTTTTACGTAATGTAACGTTTTCTATAACTTTAGTACGTTTTCAAAATATGAAGAAGTATAAAATAAATAAAATGTGAAAGTTTTTGAAGCGCTATCTAGTAAGTAGTAGATTTAGTATTGGTAATCAACAATAGAAGGCATTGAGTGCCGAGTTCTTTCGATAGTTTTAACAAAAACACTTATTTACGCCATCTTCTTGACGAGTAGCGGAGGTATAATTAGTTTGAATTTTGTAACGTTCGTAAAAATATTACTTTGCAGTTTTTCACAGTTTTTTTCTATTCAAAAGTAATATTTTACATTCGTTATTCTTCACTGTCACTTATAAAGTTGGTTCAAATTGTTTTTGTACAGAGAGAAAGTAGTATTTATAATGTAAGCACTAAATTCAGTTACGCCTTAGTTGTAAATTTTAGTATGTAATAACTTTATAATTTCTTCAATATATGGTTGGATAACACTCACAGGTCACATGTAAGACTTTATTTTTAAATTAAGTACACTTATGTAAAGTTTTTTGAGTTAAAACTATTTTAATTTTAATTTTTCACTGACACCGTGTCAAAGCAAGTGATTACTTTTCAAGCGCCATCTAGCGTATAAAAGTACTCGATTTTGAAAAAAATCTATGTTTCTAACTGATGCATCGGAATATTATATCGATGATTTGCATTATATCCAAAAAAACATCGATGTATTTTCAAAGTGGACACCATAGATAAATATATATGTAGCAAGCTAGTGGACACCCCTAAAGTAATTTACATTTTTTTTTATTTTGAGACATATTAAGGCTCCAGTACACGTTGGTCGAGCGTGCTTGGCGAGCCCGCTCGGCAGATTTTTGTGGTGCTGTTCACACGTTGGCATGCTTCATTCTGCGTTGGTAGCTAGATGATGATGTGATGGACGTTAGTGATCGCGACCTTATTTTTATGTTGCTCATGTTTGGGGTTCCACATAACTGATTCATTGTGATAAGAATCAATGAACCTAAATATTTCCTCATTAGGCCATGTCGCCATGTTCGTGAAATAATTTTATTAAGCCATAAAGCGTAAATATAAATTGAACACTCGGCCAACGTGTGATCGCTATTTGCGGCTTGCGCCAAATTTCTTTGATTTGTGCACGGAAAACTGACACTATACGGCTTGTCGGCGAGTGTTGGCCGCAAACGCCAAATACACACAAAACGGCCCAGTACACGTTGGTCGAACGCACTCGGCGAGCGCGTTTAGCCAACGTGTACTGCTACTTTAACACAGATTACGATCATTGAAGTATAATGTATTTACGTACTAGACATGGGCATGCAACTTAGAACATTATTTTATGAACAAAATGATACGTTTAATGTGCTTCCAGGTACATTCCGAAGTGCTAGGCTAGACTTATTTTAATCTCACTAGAGGGCACACTTATATATTAAGTCTATGCATACGCAATGATCCATGCGCACTACGCAGTTAGTAGGTGTCACTAGTAGTTACGCTTAAATTGTTATTAATATTTATTGAACATTATTTATTTTTAGAAAATGCCGTTTTATCTGTGTTTACAGGCAATAAAAAACTGCTAAAATATCATTAGAATACGAAGGTAAATTTCGCCACTATTTACAAGGTTATAATAGCTCAGGTGGGTAACCGGGCGGTCCCGAAACCAAGAGTCCCCAGTTCTAGTACAGCAGATGTGTTTATTTTCCCCTTCTTTTTTCAAGTTCCTTCTTTTGTAAGAATTAAGCGCCATCGCGAAATGTGTCAAATATTATACCTCACTTTCTAGTCGCGCCGCCCTGGTGGCACAAAATGTCGTGGATGCCCTCATTTGAACAAGCAATAGTTTAACATAGCCCGTCAAAAGATGGCGTTGTAAGCAAGATTCGAATTAAAGTAAGCAAGGCTTAATGCATAAAATAATAAACTTTGATACAGAATAGTGATATTAATTCTAATAGTCATTCATTTGAACATTTACACAGTAAAATAAGTATTTTAACAATAAATTAAACATCAGACATATTCAAAATTTTCAAACAGTCAAAACAGTGTCTACTAAATATCACACCTTAATAAATAATGGTTATATGTTTACCAATAAATAATTGAATTTAAATCTTATATACTTCAGATATTTCTATACTATTCAAGGTTTTTAGTATTATTCAACACACTTTCAAAATGTGAACGCAATGAATCTATAGTTTCTATTTGACACAAAAATGTTTCCTGAACGGATTTTAAATGAATATTTTTTGCATAGTCAAAAATATTCTGCGTGCGGGAAAAAAATGTCTCTTTTATCGTAAAGCGCTATAAATAGCATTTTGTGTGCATTTACTACCATTTTGCAATGCGATAATTAATATTTACACATCAAATGAGGTTGTATGGTCTAAGACCTTTGTCGGCTTGTATTGACAAATCGTAGTATTATATATGAGCATAGACATAGTATTATATGAGTTGATCCTTTATGGTGTTAAGTCAAAGTCAAACTGACAGTAACTGACTGACATTGACAGCCTTTCAGTTATCATTTTCGTCAGTCGGTCGTCGCCCTTTTCTGTTCTCTATTAAAAATGGCGAATCGTGGTGGAGCAGCTCGACGCGTTCCTGAAAATGAGGCTGCTATTACTTATGTTCAATGCGATGGCTTGGTAAGTAACAATAGAGACGAATTTTGACTACAAATTACAGCTCGCTAAAGTTTCTGCAGACGTTGACACGTCAAGGCAATTGCTTGTTTTTTAATTACCATGATTACTTTCTTTACTTTGTTTCACATTTTTGATTTGAAATTAATCTTTTTGTTTATTTTGAGGTGGCATGAGTATATCATAAAAAGTTATGTGGGTAATCATTACTTATAATTTTAAAATAATTTCGGTTTAGGTTATTTTTGCGACCAAGTCAAATTTAATGGATTATGTTATTTACCTATAATCCAGTAAATTTAACTGAACCAGTCCTACTATTTTGAATTAGTTACCTTACTCTCAAGGTCTCATAGGACATAAATTTACTTGAAATCATTAAAAATACAACAATTGAACACAAAATTTACATGAAGAACCTATGCTGGTAAAACTATAGACATCCGATACTCGCGTACGGGTGTAGAAGAGGGTGAGGGAAAGGGAGGGTTCAGAGGAAGCCCCCTCCTACCCTTCCCCCCTTGACAAAATGTATGATTGATGAGTAATAATTTTTTTTTGTAAATCCAAACCAACGGTTTCGGCGCTGCAGGAAGTGCAGCCCCTTCGCCCTTGCGTAGCATATCACAGGCATCCATGTTCACCTTTGCAGCTTCTGCTTATTGGTCGCCTTCGGCAACCAGCCTCAGCTGCTACAGTTCACAGGTTCCTACGATTTACTACAGCGGTCGGGACTGCTCTCCCTCCACGCCTACGGCTTTACAAAACACTAGGAGTATGGCAGACAAGATTATGTGGAGTCGGAGCATGCTGATTCCGTTTTAGTACAGATTTGACCTATCTTATCTATAACGTTAGGTTGGCCTAAACTCTGCTATGATAGTGGTAAATGAAACAATATAACATGAATTGTTATATATAATGAAGTACAAGATACAATTAAATGAAACCAGCCAGCCGGAAGGATTAAGCCCAAAAGAATTTTCACCTATGGTTCTAAAACAAATGAAGGATCTGGAACTTTCTGTGAAGACCTCACTATCCACATATTCACACCGCTGGTTACATACAACACAGTTTTTCAAGCGGAATGTATGGGTATCATGCTATATATGGTCTGGATCCAAGTAATTAACTTTTTTATGGGTGACCTGTTTTGTTATATGCAATGTTTACTTATTTTTATAGTAATTAATTCAAGGCACATTTCCAAATTCTAATAGCAGTATAAAAGGTTTAAGCTTAAGCCTGACAAACCTAAACTGAAAACATTATTAAAATTAAGTACTCCACGTCTATACTTCATAACACTTGACAAAATTGACATATTTGCATTTAGTAATAAGCATTTTTAGTGAAATTTATTTTTATCATAATTAATTCAAAACACATTTCCAGTAAAGCCAGCCAGTTAAGAAAAGGATATAAATAACAAACACACAAATGTATTTTATTTATTTCAACAATGCCCATGTATGCATGCAAATAAATAATCAAATTTGAAAAGAACAATGGCAGACTTTCATACATAAAATTAGTTGAGAAGAAATGATAGCATCTATATATCAAAAATATCTTAAAATGTTAAGTGTCATTCTCGGAGTAACTATGTCCAAGATTTTGTCCTAGGTTATGTCTTATGTCACTTGGAAAAAGTCATGTGTCCTGTGGTTGTTTGATGTTAGCTTAATACATTTTCAAGATAATGTAGCTACCTATCTACATAATTGAGAGTTTTTAGATTAATGTATTTCTATTATATATTTGCATACTATAACAGCCTTACTAATAAAGATTTACACACGACGTATACTAGAGTTATAACGCAAACATTACCAATAAACGACATTTGACAGTTCAGTTGTATACATCTGTTATAACGAGTGTTTAAATTGTATGGAAACTTACGCAACCGTTATACAGTTCTCAACCTTTGTTTAAGACGTGTATAACCTTAATTTGACGTGTGGCGTTTTTGAAAATAATGGATTATTTACAATATTTCGATATTTTTGATGAAATAGACCGTGAGGAACCACCAAGAAAAAGAAAATTTTACAAAAAACGTTTCGATCCCTTTACTCTACAAGAAAAAGATTTTCGAATGAAATATAGATTCAGTAAAATATACATACATACATACATACATAAACACTCACGCCTGTCACCCAGAGGGGTAGGCAGAGACTACGGACTTCCATTTGGCGCGATCCTGACACACCTCTCTCGCCTCTTTCACATCCATATATCTACGCATACACGCTCGTCGGTTAAGGGTACTCCTAATCTGGCCCATTTTCAATGTATCGCCGATCTGGTCGATAAACCTTCGTCTAGGGCGTCCCTTCCCGACCCTGCCGTTCACTTCTGCAACATAAATTTGCTTTGTCACTCTTTCCTCGTTCATTCTTTCTACGTGAAAAAAATTAAAAAATTAAAATATATATGAGAAAAATAGTTAAGTTAGTTCAGCGTGATATCGAACTACAAGCTAGTGGTGGCGGGCTGTCTGTAGAACTTCAGGTTTGTACTGCTCTCAGAACGTGGGCTAGGCAAGAAGTGCAAGATGATGCAGCAGACATTCATGGGCTTAGCCAACAGTCCATCACAAATATATGCCGAAGAGTAGCTCTTGCTTTGGCAAGTAAAGCGGCACAATTTATACGCATGCCTAGTACTTTAGAAGAGCAAGAACAAGTGGTTTCTGGATTTAGAAACATTTGTGGCTTTAAGCAAGTGATTGGTGCTATCGATTGCACGCACGTAAAGATTAAAAAAGTCGGAGGCGATAGTGCTCAATATTATATAAACAGAAAGGGATTTTCATCCTTAAATGTCCAGGTAGTTTGTGATGCTCAATTAAAGATAAGAGATATAGTGGCACATTGGAGGGGCAGCACACATGATGCAAGAATATTCAGGGAAAGTCAAATCCGACAACGATTTGAAAATGGGGAATTTCATGCTCGTTTACTAGGAGATTCTGGCTACGGTTTGACAAATTACTTGTTTACACCAGTCCAGAATCCCCGTACTGCTAAAGAGAAATCTTATAATAAATCACATATATTAACCAGAAATACAATTGAAAGGTGTTTCGGAGTTTGGAAACAGAGGTTCCGATGTCTATTACTTGGGTTTAGTGTGTCACTGGAAAATGTAAAATTATACATTGTTGCACTTGCGATATTACATAATATTGCCATTGAAATGAATGAAGGCATTGATTTCCTTGAACCAGTCATATCTGAAGATAATGGTGACCAACAAGTGCTAAGGGAAAGTCTTGATAGCCGATCTGGTCAAGAAACAAGGAGATTATTCATTGAAACACAATTTTAGTAACGAAAATGCTTTATTGTGGTAAATTTGTTTTTAAAAGTAATATTTCTAATTTTAGTTTTTCAACTCGAAGCTGTGTTTCTTCTTTTTCCAATAACATTTGTTGTATTTTTAAATTGTGTTCCTCTTTAATAAAATTATGAGCTTCTAACATATTTTTCATTTTTAAACCATGTTCCTCCTTTATGCAACTGACAAGAATATGATTGCGCTCTCTGGTTAAGTCTCTTTCCTGAAATAAATATATTTTTATCAATCAGAAATTACTAATCCCATTATTTTGTTATACTTGGTAGAGCCATGCTGTAGCTATAGTTGTAGCATGAATGGGTCGACTCGACCGGGGAAGGACCACGCTCTTGCAGAATACCATCATAAAATAGTGGCTTAACGCTGCTGTTTCGTAGGGTGAGTGTAGAGAACCGCAGACCCTTTTTACTGGAAATGCGGCATTCCATCTTAGTCCTCCCGGGTGACAATGCATCTGCATTTTGATTTGTAATAGAGGATAGATGTAGATATCTATGCGCCATAGCAACCATTTACCATCAGGTGGACCGTGTGCTCGTTTGTCACTCTATCCTATAGAAAAACTTATATTAAACATTTTATTAAAATAAAATAAAATATTATTTTACCTCACGTTTAGCTGTATATTTATTATCATTCACATCATTGAATGTTAGTTTCCGTTTTCTTCTAACTATTTCAGTTGGCATCTTAAAAGGTAGATGTGTAATATTCTGAAATATTATCAAGTCATTCAGAATTCAAAAGATATTAATCTAGGTAAATTTTCTCAACAAATTTAAATTAACAAACCTCTTGCACATTCTCATTATTATCTCCTGGAGTGATAAAATAATCTTGTGTTGGTGTATTCACCAACGACTGCTCCTGACTTTGAACCACTGAATTCTGAAATAGAATATCACACATTGATATCATAATCATAAGACATAACATACTTGGTACTTAACATTGTGTTAGTGCTAAGACAATTACAAAAAATATAGTATGAGCTCACTGTTATGCTGTCACTGTCGAAGACATTGGAATCAGTTTCAAATTCCTGTGGAATCATGCTCAATATGTCAATGGTTTCTGGGTCAGGGCTAAGAGGTTTTGGCCCTCCACCAGTACATTTGATCGATGTCTTTACTTGCGACATGTTTTTCTTTGCATCAAGTTTCATAGTGCGCCACTGTTGCTTAACTTCAGCTAATTCTCTTACCCGGCTATTCAATTCACTAAAACTGAAAATGTCTCAATTATAATTTGCACACAAGAAACGTGAAACAAAATTCATAAAACATGGTATTTTACAAACCTTTTCATCACTTTTTCCCAAGCAATGGTCTTACTTTTGTTTGTATTTGTATCCGTGTTTTTATTTTCTATGATGGATACAAATTCCTTCATACAACTTTTTAATAAACTCTGAAAGATAATATACAAAGTTCGATTACAAATTGTGACCATATTGGGAAACAGTAGTTGCAAATGTATTTCTAGTAAAATTCAATCTTACCTTTTCTAACGCATCCCAATTGGCAGACCGTTTTCTTTTGATAAAGTTTCCATTACTATTAGCCATTATTACACAACACACAAATTATAACACAGCGATGTTATTAAAAATATAGTAGCTTCTAACGAATTATAAATTACAAACAACAAATTGACGACTGAATTGCAAACTGTCTGAATCTGAAAGGTACGCCGTACGTTCATAAACTTATTAGGATTATAAATATGGCTTCGTCCAAATAATAATTAGTTTTTATCGCATATAAACATTAGATTATTACTAAATTAAATTTAACAATATTTTGGGCTAAATGTATGTGTTATTAATTACAAAAAGATAATTTATAAGTTGTTTATGTGTTTTCAAAATGTTTCTATAACTTGACAATTTAGTTTCAAAACGTTTTTGATGAATGTTGCCAATGGTTTTTGTTTTAGTGAGTGTATAACTATCACAGAGTACTTTTACTATACAACGCTTATACATCTGTTATTGGTAAAGAGCGTGTGTAACTCTTATCCATAGCTTAAACAGTGTATAAGTACATAGTTGTTAAACAGATGTTTTAAATATTTTTATTAGTAAGACTGTAAATGTATATTTCTGGCATAGCTTCTGGGCCTTTGTGCCATACAGTGACATTTTGTTTCAGCTAGTGTTGCCATAACATTAAATGGAAATGTTACATAGTACTATGATTGAGATAATTAATTATTGCAGGAAGTTCTTTGTAAGAGACTTATTTTCAACCATATCACTTTCATTTTTATTATTACTGATAGTATTGATATTACTAATAATAACTTCCAAAGAAAATATTTTGTGTTTGTGTGTTGTATTGGCAGTTTTACAAAGTGTATACGATTAAATAGTGTAAAATGATTAAAATCATATTCCCAAAAGTATGTTTTTTTCTGTGGCTTTAATTAAAATACATATTTATTTGAAAAATCATAAAAAAATAATTAAACTCATTTTGTATATAAGTTGTTTCTAGACAATAATTTTTGTCAAATATTTTTCTGCCCTTGTTATTACAGGCAGTTATGAAAATAGTGAAGCATTGCCATGAAGAGTCCTGTAGCAACATGGAGGTGGCCCAAGGGGCCTTATTGGGCTTGGTTGTTGAGAATAGACTAGAGATCACAAATTGCTTCCCATTTCCAAAACATGATGATACAATGGATGAAGAGGAGTATCAGCTAGATATGATGCGCAGACTTCGCAGAGTCAATGTTGATCATTTTCATGTTGGGTGGTAAGTAATTTTTTTTTATAGGATAGGGTGACAAACAAGCACACAATCCACCTGATGGTAAGTGGATACTGTGACACATAGACATCCACATCTATCCTCAATAAAGAATCAAAATACAGATGCATTCTCACCTGTGAGGACTAAGATGGAATGCCTCTTTTCCAGTAAAAAGGGTCTCCAGTTTTCTACACTCACCATACGAAACAGAGCAGTGTTAAGCTGCTATTTTACAATGGTATTCTGTGAGAGTGTGGTCCTTCCTTAATTTACATTTTATGTTTGTTACAGACTTTCATTCATTCATTCTTTCAGCCTTTCGAAACCACTGCTGAGCATAGACCTCTCCCATAGATTCCTTTTTCTTTTTTCCTTTTTTGTTTTAAAAAAACGTTACCCCCACACTAGGATTTTCTCCTGTATTGTGGAGGCAGTTTACAAACATAAATTGCACAAGGACAAACATCCAGACCCGGAACAATTATTTGTAGGCCATACAAATACTTGTTCCGTGCGGGATTCGAACCCGCAGCCCCCAGCGCAACAACTGATTGCTAAGCCACTGCGCCACGGAGCCGTCAATATAGATTACCTCATAGGGATAATATTTTACGTGATTGAGGCGGCTCCTGCAGGTATATTACTGGTATAGTTGTAGCATGAATGGGTCGGCTTGACCAGAGAAGGATCACTCTCTGCTCTAACATAACTTTATTAAACTATGTTTGTATAAAAAGGATTATTATAATATTAAGGAACTTATGGATGATAATAACCCCCGGAAATGAGGTGATCACTACCAAGGTTTTTCTAATTTGTTGTGTTGTTAATTGTGTAACATACATGATTGTAAGCTGTTATTTAAAAAAAAAGTCCCGCTGGGTTTCTTGCTGGATCTTCCCAGGATAGAGGTTTTTTTCGAACCAGTGGTAATTAAACAAAAGAGTGACTTTCAATAAGTATTATTTATAATCTATATTGAATAGAAAAGTTTCTGTTTCTGTTTGGTCAAACTCTTGTTTACGTGATTATTTTCCTCCCTCTCTCTATTTTATCTAAACTCCTGTTAATTAAAGTCCATTTCTGAACATAGGCTATATATATAGTTGCCACGCTTGGCATTGGCGAGTTGGCAACCACAGTTTTTTTTTTATAGGATATGGATTTTTATCCATTATTAGAAAGAAGCTGCCCATCTCCTGATTTGTTGCCCTCTGTCGTCTTATAGGACACCCAGAGGATGATATGGGGTAGAGGATACTCTTACACTGCCACTACATTTTACTAAGTTATGTTACAAAGGAATATGTTACAAAGTAATTTTAGAAGGAAAACTTTGTTCTTTGAGTTGAGAGAACTGTGCTAAAAATGATGATGGTCCAATATTTTTGTTCATTCACAAGGACTTGTTTCAATTTCCAGGTACCAGAGTGCAGATGTTGGAAACTTTTTGAGCCAGTCTCTGTTAGAGTCTCAATACCATTATCAGACCTCAATTGAAGAGAGTGTTGTAGTCATTTATGACACCAAGAAATCCGCTAGGGGTTTCTTAACATTGAAGGCCTACAGATTGACTCCTCAGGTGAGTCATTATGGACAGTTTAGTATATGAAGGGAGTATAGGATGCCTCTGTTTTTCACACACACTTAAACACTTGTAGTAATTTACATTTATTATATTCTTCATAGTTGTCAACATCAGAAATCAATAGAAACTTTTTGATAGGGTTAATTAGACAAACAGTATGATTGTGTAACTCTGGTGGAAATCTCTGGTGGTTTTGATGTTTGGCATTTTTTTTGTATTGTGTATATGTATTAATATGGATTATCAGACAACAGTATAATAATAATAATATAATAAATAATATATAAAATAAAGTAACAAAATATTATAATATAAATGTAAAACATAATGCAATTATTGTGGGTTTATTCCTACCAGCAAATCATTCCCAAGTTACTTAATCACACTACAGATTAGGAAACCGATGTAAATGCATGCAATTTTTTTAAAATAAATATATGGGTACTTAATTTACAAGAAAAGAGATAATATTTTATTACTATTTTTGTTTCTATAACTTTATTTTAATAATTTTAATGTCATTTGACTGAATTTACATTTTTCATTTTGTTTAGGCTATAGCCATGTACAAAGATGGTGACTACACTCCAGATGCATTGCGTAACCTTAAGATAGGTTATGAGAACCTTTTTATTGAAGTACCAATTGTCATCCGTAACTCACCATTGACCAATATAATGATGTCAGAGCTCACGGAGATGATTCCAGAGGAAGAGGGCTCAAAGTTTCTGGATTTAGGAACTGCGTCAGTGCTTGAAGGTTTGTATGTTTGAATCCTTTTAGCCTAACTACCCTAGGAGGGTAGTTTTCGAAAATGTTTATATTAATAGGGTTTTACCTATGAAATTGCCATTCTGCAGTACTGGCCATTTCAAATCAAAATAATTTTTGCTAAGAATTCTAATTTAAAATTGATTTTATTTTAAAATGGATTTCTTTTTTCTAAATTAGTTATTTGTTTATTGATTAGAGTTATGTATAATATATTCATCGCATTTGAATCTTTTTCTTCATCATGGATATGTTAAAAATTCGAGTAATTATAGAATATGAAAGAGTATGGAATACGAGTACCATCGTGGCAGCAACGCGGCACAAGCGGCACGCAACATCTACGACGTTTATGGCGCTAATACTAAAAAAGAACGCACCACCTGTTATTGGTTTGCCCACTTCCGTTCTGAAAATTTCGACCCGAAAAATTAACCCTATGGTCATCCGGAAACTTTGGCTGACATTGACGAATTTAAGGCGATTGTGGAAGCTGATGATACTCAATCTACGGCTGAATTAGTAAGCAGCTTTCGACATTAGCATAAAAACAATATTGGTCCATTTACATCAAATTGGCAAGGTAAAAAAGCTTGACAAATTAATGCACTTGAGATGAGACGTGCCTTGCACCGCTCAACAGGCATATAAACGAAGGAACTTTGAAGTGCATTGTTACCTGCGACGCAAAATTGGTTCTGTTTCATAATCGCAAGCGCTCAGCAAGTTGGTTGGATCTTGGTTCAGCACCTAAACAATGCTCTATATGAAAACTTACCCATAGAAAAGTGATGGTAACTATTGGGTGGTCTAGTGCCAGTGTGATTTATCACAGCCTCTTACCAAACGGGATGAGCATTACTGCAGATGTGTACTGCTAATAACTGAACACAATGACGGATAAGACTTCTACTTTTTCCAGAATTTGGATAAATTTTTGGCAGGAATAAAATTCAATACCCGAGATGATGTAAAAAATGACTGAAGAATTTGTTGTCTCCTATCTGGCTGATTCCTTAAAGAAGGGCATCAATAAACTGCCACTGCATTGGCAAAGATGCGTCGAGTGCATGGATATGACTTAGATAAATAGAAATAAAAAATGTAAAAAAAAATTACATTAACTTATTTCATAAATCTGGCAATTTCATAGGTACATAATATATATTTTGCATGTCAGTCAGCTTCTGGACATGTTTCCTCCCCACAGTAAGGAAGATTTGCCATAATTGTCATGTTAAGCAGATGGATATTGAAGGTGACAGTTCCAGATATTTCTTAGCTTTGATACTTCTGCTAATATAAAAATATTTTATTTATATTTATCCTAAAGTGACCAAATACCAAAAGTTGGTGCGTTATCATCTGTTAAAGACAACGCTTCTTAGATGAATCATCCATGTTATTTATATTTTAGACGTATATATTTATAGTTATTTATATGTATTATTTGTATATGTATTAGACATGCGCGCCGCGCCGGCGCCGCCGCGCCACGCCGCGCCCTGCCCACGCCGCGCCGCGCCGACAAATCCGATCGGCGCGCCGTGAACCAACGCGGGACGGGCGCGTGGGCGCGGGGTCAATAAAACCATGCAATTATTTAAAAATTCAAAAATCAATAAAAAAATGTAAAAAGATCGTAAAAATCGTTCGGTATCGCTAACCGGAATTGAAGCGAGCGGCGGAAATAGAACAAATTAAATTTTTACAGTCTCTGGAGCGCGTATCAGAACTTTCAGTATGTATATAAAAAGTACTCTGTGATCAGAACATTTGCTACTAGCACGCCTAGTGAGCGCGTTTTTTCTATAGTGGGACTAACTGTGACTGCTAAAAGATCTAGACTAAGCCCAGTACATGTTAATAAAATTATTTTTATTAATGATAATTATACATTGTGCAAAAAACACAATTTTAATTTCCTATAGTTTGTGCAAGAAACAAAAAAATGTGCTTTTTCGTTTTTGCACAAATTATAAGGTATAATTAATTAGAACTTGTTTGGTTTGTTTTTATTTTGAGAAATTAAATTTGAATTCCTATCCAGGTCTATGTTTCACTTGTTACTACCTTATTTTAAATAAATGTTTATAAAAATTAAAATAAAATACGGCCGCGCCGGCGCGGCGTCGCCACGCCGACCACAATGGGTCGGCGCGCCGCCGCCGCCGAATTCTTGCTCGGCGCGCATGTCTAATATGTATGTTGGTATGAATATATATATGCTTATGTATGTACGTATATATTTGTATACATGTATAAATAGGATATATTTTTATAGTTTATTTATTGTATATATTAGTAAAATGTATATATAACGTAATTAATTATACATTTCTATTTCGTTTTTATTCTATATTGCTACACCTACTTCAAATTCTCACCACTCCATGGGTTGACTGGTAGAGAATGCCACAAGGCATTAAGTCCGCCCTTTGTATTCTTTTAGATTAAGGAATGCAATAAAGAATAAATAAATAAATAAAAAATACCTGTCAGGTTTAATAATTGAATCATCATTATCATCATTATCATTACAGCCCCTCATAAATCCACCCTTAAAGTTTCTTCCAAAAAAGCCATTTAAAAAAAATCAATTGAATACAATATATTATATAGATTAACAATGGATTGCTTATTGATATTGATGATTGGTGAATAAACAGGTACGAAAACAAAACGAGCACAAAGTCCACGTGATGGTAAGTGGATGCTGTGGCCCATAAACATTACATCTATGTATCTTCGATTAAGAATTAAAATACAAATGCGTTTTCACCCATGAGAACTAATATGGAATGCCCCATTTCCAGTAAAGAGCGGTCTCCGGTTTTCTACATTTACCATACGAAATTTTTTTAATGACTTGTAGCACTGAGTTTAATAAAAAGAAATATTTTTTTGTATTGTTTTGTGTTACTTTAAATGTTATGATTATAGTTAGCCTATGAAATTATTGGTTGTAAGCTATTCTCAAGAAATATCCCTTACTTGAATTTTAACGGTTTGGTTCCAGGTCAACTCCGCAGCTTAATGGAACGCGTCGATGAACTTAATCAAGAGGCGATTAAGTTCAACCGATACCAGCAGTTGGTGGTGCGTCAACAGCAAGACAAGCACAGATGGCTGCTGAAGCGGGCACAAGAGAATTCGGCCCGAGCAGCTAAAGATGAACCACCACTACCGGAAGAGGATGTAAACAAACTCTTCAAACCCCACCCGGTCCCGCCAAGGCTGAACCCGATGATTGTAGCCGGTCAGATAAATACCTACAGCCAGCATATAAGCCAGTTCTGCTCCCAAAGTCTGGCTAAGTTGTACTTGACGCAAGCACTGCAAAACGCAAAGGAGGCAAAGCAGAATAACTAGTTTTGTATTTCTTAATAAAAAAAGTCATATTGTCACTGTGTTTTTTTTTAAGATTAATATTAGTAACGTGGTTGTTAATGATATCTGATATTAATACAATAGTGTAGTAGTATAAAATATGGTATTGAACATGACTTTTGCAATTATTGATGTTACAAAAGCACTTGAAATTTTGAAAATTAAAAATATTAATAACAAAAAAAACTTTGTTCCATAAGCGGCTTTTGTTGCAGGTAAATTGATACCAAAAATTAAACTTTAATTTTAATATATAGAATTCAAGAACAATATGAAATATAAAAATAAAGGACGATGTAATTTACAGAGATGTATGAGGTTAAGAGAATCTTTTTTTATATTGCTTTTAGAATAAATAGGGTAAGTATACCCTATTTATTCTTAAAGCAATATAAAAAATGCTATGGCGATCCTTATATACCTATCATTTATTATATATCGCTTATGACTAATATTACATTTTATAAAACTGAAGTGTCAAACGAACATAAACGTCCACCCGATGGTAAGTGGCTAGTGTAGTCCATGGACACCTGCGGCCAACTTCAAACAACCTCTGAGGACTGAGATGGAAGCCCAATTATTCTATAACTTTCAGACTAGCACACAGCGGCAATTCTATTTAGCGGCACAAATAGGTAAAAGGGGTTCCGATTCGTTGCGGCACCAATTTTCGAAAACTTAGCTGTGGTGGCGAACAAATATTTCATGACACGCCGGACGTGTCAAGCGACACAGACAGTTCCGCCATGTGTAAAAGTAATGTTCTTTTTTATGCTTTTTTTACTTGTTTAGATCTAATTAAGTTTATTTGACATCAAACATAAGTTACAAATGGAAGGATACTTGCTTTTAGTGGGTAACTACGTGTTTTTTTACGCGTTTTCTTTGAAATTGAATGTAAGTGACTTTTTTTTATGAAGAGATTACAAACCTTTGTACTATTTTTGTTGTTATAAAAAATCATTTATATAAGTAGGTACAGCTAAATCACCCTGGAAACCTTGGTTTTTATTAAATTAAATTTTCACCTAATAATAACATTTGTAAATATCAAACAATGAAGAACCTTAATTTGAAAAAAAAAGGTATATCATTCATTGATATTTACAAATGTTAAATATTATTTAATGTTATACAAATGTAAAAGTAAAGTCGATCTGAAAACGTCTAATTAGTAAGAATAGCAAAACAAGTGTTTTCAAAAGGAAAAAAACGCCGGCGTTATACGGCGGCAGATTGACAAAAGACTATTTATTAGCGAACTTTTTTATGCATGAACGGTTTCGAACTGTTTCAAGCAAAAATAAACCTTGTTCGCGTCAAACGCTGTTGTCAGAATCGACGTCTAGGGGGCGCGACGCTCGGTGCCATATCGGTTTTGACGTCGCTCGAGCGGTGGGGTTCAGAACGCGTAAAGGTGCAGTGGAGTCGTCTGCTACCTGTGCTAATGTCTGCACGCTGTCAATTTTTGTGCGAGAACCGCGGAATAGTTAGGGCGTCTAGTAAATATCCTGTCTAGGATTTATAACGCGCATTCCTTGTTGGATAGCCTTTCCCGGGACTTATTGGGTCCGACTCAGAATCTGTATAAGTGCATTCGACAATATTAGCTAGTGCGGCCTTTGATAGTCTAGAAATAACTGTTGCTACGCGAAGCGGTAGTGACCTTTGATCCGGGCACTCCCTGTTAGTTTTGTGTGTTAGGCTTTATAACAAACGAGAGTTAGTGGCTTCTGTAAGTTAATTAATCGTACGATAGAGTTAATGGACTGTCATCGTGACGAACGAGGTAAGTGATTGTGGTCCGGCGCCGAAGCAGTCTGAAGCGGTGCAGCATTTTGGAGCAGCCTGGAACTCGGCCGCGGCTGGTCGCCTATGCTTGACAAGGCCCCACACATTCACACCTCACTGTACACTACTCGCCATCTACTATTACACACAATTCGGATAATGGTAAGTACTATATGTTTCTAGCGTCCTCCCATATTGTTTAGTGTAATTAGAGAAATTCCACGTGGCCATATTCTGGCCCCGTCCCTCTGCTGCTCGTCGATGGGATTACTCATGGGCCCTAATCCCGTCACGCTTTGGTTGGGGCAGCTAGGGGCGTGTACAAACCTTATACCATATCACAAGAGCACATGGTACTTCGTAGGTCTATTCGGCCATATGATAGTAATAAGACGGCAGTTCAACCATTTTAAGCAAAATTAAACAATAAGACAAACGCATTGTTTTTTTTAACAAGAGACTTGTTTTCCAGAAATTTATTTACAACTTGAGTTTGTGAGCGATCGCAATGAGTGCTATTATTTGTTACTTATTAGACAATTTTTCCATAACATGATTTAAAACCCACAAAGTAAAAATAGTACGATGTACACGTTAAAAAAAGGTTGTCAACCCCTAAAAATTTCAAATTTTCAAAATATCCAGAAACTAAGCTGCATGCATGAACTACTCGCAAAATAATGAATCTTTTGTTCTGGATAAATTTTCCAAAAAAGCAATTTGAGCGAGTTATAACGATTTTTAAAAAGACACGATTTACGTGTCATACGCCACACACAAAAGTAATCGATGGCACTTCTGGCGTGTCAACCGCGCTGAACCGGTTAATAAAATATACTGATTATTCTATTGTGTATATTTTAGTCAACCCGTTTCTTATAGCTACCGGAATTAGATGACCTGTGTATTAACTATAAGCATCTAGCTTCAGATTTTGTCAGATAATCAAGGACAGGCTCTACTCGCGGCAATCCTCATTTTCCATTTGTGACCAAATTTATAAGAGCGACAAACGAGCACACAGCCCAGACACCTGAGATTACACGGATGCTGTGCCTTATGGAATTTACATCTACCCTCGAATGCATAATCGTCATCACAAAAGTAAAGTAACCCTTAAACGTTACAGCTGAGCATAGACCTCTTCTCATTATTGAGATGATATATCATGTGTACGTGGTAGAGCTATGCTGCAGCTATATTATGGTGGTAGCACGAATGGGTGGGCCCGACAGGGATGGGACCACGCTCTTACAGAATACCAGCGTAAGATAGCAGCTTAATGCTGCTGTGTTATGTGTGGTGAGTGTAGAGGACCGGAGACACTTTTTACTGGAAAGGAGGCACTCCATCTTAATCCTTAGGTGTGACAACGCATCTGTATTTTGATTCTTAATCGAGGATAACAGTAGACGTCTATGGGCCACAGCATACACAAATAAAATTGTTAATTTCTATTTTAAATCTTGATTCACCACGCTCTCGGTTGTGAAGGAACATCGTTAAGAAACCAGTATGTCCAAGAAATAAAAAAAAAGCGAAGAGATTTTTAGGTCCGTCAACACGCTTGGCAGGGCAGCAGATATTTCCTAATAGCCTAAAACATTATTTTTTTTTATAGCAAAGGTGTGACAAACGAGCATAGTCCAACTGATGGTAACTGTATGCTGTGTCGCATAGACATTTACATCTATACTCGATTAAAAATCAAAATGCACATGCGTCGACTAACACCCCTGACGACTAAGATGGAAAGCCTCGTTACCAGTAAAGAAGGGTCTCCGGTTTTCTAAATTCACCATACGAAACAGCAGCATTGATCTACTATTTTACGCTCGTGTTCTGTGAGAACTTCCTTCGTCCTTCCCCGGTCGAGGCGATCCATTCGCGCTATAACCATAATATAGCTGCAGCATGTCTCTACCACGTAAAAAATTAATGTAATGAAATGTTTAATTTTATTCCTATCGTGGGTCACAGCATACTCACTATCAATTGCTCTGTGATTATGCCTGATCCATATTTATAAGCGTTTTGAAAATATGGATCAGTGGTACGGCGCGGCGTACCGCCGTAACAAAGCGCGGGATCTATCCAGCCTAATTTTTTTCAAACGCTCATTCAAAAAATGTCCGGTCTTCTTACGATAAGCTCGTAGTCCTAGGTCTTTATTGATCACTCTTTTGACCGTGGTTCTGCCTAGGCCCATCTGAAGAGCTAAGATTTTTTGTTTACGAACAGGATTTCGTTGGATTCGCGCCTTCACTGCTTTGATGATCGCGGGTGTCCTAACTGTACGAGGTCGGCCGGTCCTCTTACGATCTTCGAAGCTTGAATCTTCAGTGAATCGTTTGATAGTGCGATAAACAAATCGTAGGGTTATTTTTAATTTTTGTAGAATATTGTAAATCTCTTATGGCGCGTAACCACGCGATAACCGCTACTCTATTTTCTCTATTCTTCGACCACTCCATATTTGAAAATGAATATTTCTTTTTATTTATCTACAATATTAAAAACTACGATAATAAAAAAGAAAAACTAAAACTAGAAACTAAAATTAAGTATTATGTAAAATTGTTTATTATAATTTATTTATGGCAAGCGCAAACGTTATATTTTTAAAATTGGTGAAGTTTATCTAGCCAGTATTCAAACATTTTAAATAATAAGGTTTTGACAGAACTTATGACACGACTAAGTATAAACATAGCTGCAGCATGGCTCTACCACGTATAATATATTAGAAAATGACCTAAAACTAGCTGCATTATAACTTTGTAATGTTATTGTAAACTGTAAAAAATAAACATTTTATGAAGAAAACGACTTATATGCATTACTACAATAGCTTTACTTTTTCATTTGCGGGATAGGCAGGGAGGATCTTTCTTACTTACTACTTTTACTTATTTTTAAGTTGGTATTTATTGGAGGCCTCAGTCAAAGTATTCATTCATATAATCATATAGCCTCATGCAGTTTCACTCGTCACACTCGTGGTTTACGCGGGCGACATGAGGATAGTTTAGGGCAGTGGTGGTTTACGTGGAGGTCGGAGTTAGGGTTGCACTGCCGAGAATATATAGAAAGATAGACAACTATAATCATTTTTGTACTTACTTGGCATGTGAATGATTTGATGTAAATTGTATTATTTTCAAAAACGTAAAAAAACCCTATAAGTC